CAACTGCTGAACCAAGATGATACTAGCTCACATATGCCCCAGCCCCAACCATCTAAGTTTAATGGAGACCGCCACCACTACAGGGGTTTCCTTAATCAATGCCGTATATATTTCCAAATGTACCCTGCTGCGTTTCCTTCAGAGAAAAATAAGGTAAAGTTTATTATTGGGCTTCTGACTGGGGAAGCTCTAGCTTGGGCCTCCCCTTATATAGAGCAAAATCTTGGCATTCTGAATAATTTTGATACCTTTTTGACCGCAATGAATCAGGTTTTTGATGATCCCAACCGTTGTGCTACTGCCAAAGCAAAATTGCATAGTCTGCGGCAGGGTAGACGCTCGGTCGCTGAATACACAGCCGAATTCAGAAGTTGGATCGCAGATACCACTTGGAACCCTGCAGCACAAAAGAGCCAGTTCTGCCAAGGGCTTTCTGAAGGGCTTTCTGAACAGGTAAAGGATGAGCTTGCCAGACTAGATATTCCTAACGATCTTGAGGAATTCATCCAATTGTGTATCTGAATCGATCAAAGACTTACAGAAAGGAGGAAGGAGAGGCTGGGAATGTTTGGAGGTAATAGGGGCATGCATCTCTCTGCTAGTCCATTTGTTCAGCAGGATTCAAGAGTCTCTCTGGGTTCTAACACTCCTGAGCCTATGCAGGTCGATGCTATCAAGAGATCCATTTCCATTCAGGAGAGAGAGAGAAGACGTTCAGAGAACATACGTCTATATTGTGGGGACTCTGATCATTATGCAGTTAATTGTCCTAACAAAGAAGAACAATTGCTATGACTGATGTGATTATGCCTGAACAAATAAACATATTAGCCGGTCTGTCTCCACACTGATTCCTGAAGAGAATAAAGTGAACTCACTACTCTCTCATTTTTTTATCCCCATTAAACTTGTATCTGAGGGCTGTGAAATCTCCTGCTCAGCTATGCTGGACTTTGGGGCTGGGGGGAACTTTATGGATATAGAGTTTGCCAACGACAATAGTATTCAAACAAGAAATTTACAACTATTGATATGCAGACAATTGATGGGTCACCCTTATCTTCAGGACCTGTTACCCATAAAATGGTTCCCCTGGTACTGTTGTTTGAGGCTGACCATTGTGAGACCATCATCTTTCAGCTGATTACGTCACCCAAGTTTCCCATCATCCTGGGCATTCCTTGGTTCTCCACTCACTATCCTTCTGTCAACTGGGGAGCACAGACTACAGATTTTATGTCCCCCCACTGTGAAAAATATTGCAAAAAACCTTGCCGACCAAGTTCGTCACTGACCAAGGAATCACAAAGTGATATAGTGGCTATCCAGTCATATGACAATTTGCCCCCACATTACCATGAGTTCCGGGATGTCTGTGACAAGAAAAATGCAGATCAATTGCTCCCCCCACATCGCCCATATGATTGCCCCATTGAGCTGCTCCCAGGGGCAGAAATACCTTTTGGCTGCCTTTTAAATCTGTCGGAACCTAATTAAAAGTACTCAGGGTGTGGATCGATGAGAATTTGGAGAAGGGCTTTATTAGACACTCAACTTCTCCTGCAGGAGCAGTCCTGTTCTTTGTTGAAAAGAGAGACTCCACCTTGCGTCTATGCATTGACTACAGAGACATGAATAAAATCACTATTAAAAACTGCTATCCATTACCCTTGATCTCTGAAATGTTGGAAAGACTTTGTTCTGCCAAGATCTTTACAAAACTTGATTTACGAGGGGCATATAACCTTGTGCGCATTTGTCAAGGAGACGAATGGAAAATCACCTTCAGAACCAGGTATAGGCATTTCGAATGCTTGGTGATGCCGTTTTGGACTTTGCAACGCACCTGCAACGTTTCAGCATTTTATCAACAATGTTTTTCGTGATCTGTTGGACCAATTTGTAATTGCCTATCTGTATGATATCCTTATCTTTTCCGATAATTGGGAGGAGCACCGCAAACATGTTTGCACTGTCTTTGAAAGATTAAGGAAAAATAAACTTTACATTAAATTAGAGAAATGTGAGTTTGAACAAACCCAGATCCAGTTCTTAGGTTATATCATTTCTCCAGAGGGAGTGAGCATGGATCCCGAGAAGATCAAAGCAGTGGTAGATTGGTCAGCACCTGGAAATGTTAAGGAAATTCAACGTTTTGTCGGGTTTGCCAACTTCTACAGAAAATTTATCAGAAACTTTTCTAGAGTAATAGCTCCAATCACACAGCTAACAAAGAAAGGGGTACGCTTACTGTGGACCTGTGAGGCACAGGCTGCGTTTGAAAAGCTGAAAACTCTTTTCACTTCTGCACCAATTTTGGTACATCCCGATCCTGAACTACCCTTTATAGAAGAAGTGGATGCTTCCAATTCTGCCGTGGGAGCTATCCTGTCGCAGCGAAGTGATGAACAAATGCAGCTTCATCCTTGTGCCTACTTTTCTCGTTTGATGTCCTCAGCCAAAAGGAATTACGACATTGGGAATAAAGAGCTACTGGCAAATAAGGAAGCCTTTTCTGAATGGAGGCATCTGCTAGAAGGGGCTAATAACCCTGTAACTGTTCTCAATGACCATAAGAATCTGGAATTCATTCGCTCGGCCAAGAGATTGTCTTCTAGACAAGCACGTTGGTCATTATCAGCTGATAATGCCCATTTCAGAGCCAAGAACTCCAACTTTTGGGTGGGGTAGTTCTTCTCGGCCAGTGTATGACTTCTGCTCACATAAGCAACAGGCTGCAGGTATCCATCGTGCTCTTGATACAACACCTCGCCTAGTCCATCTCCACTGGCATCTTCATGCAGCTCATATGGTTTAGTCAGGTCAGCATGGGCTAAGACAGGAGCAGCCATTAAGCTCCACTTCGGCTGATAGTTTTTTTTTCTATGTTTACTAGTAATGGCGGTGATCAGCAACCAGTGACACCAATACAGTGATCAGTGCTAATAAAAAGCACTGACACGGTACTAATGGCACTGGGCCGGAAGGGGTTAACATCTGGGGCGAGCAAAGTGTTAACTGTGTGCCTTGTGCTGTTTTACATGATGTTCTGTGTTTGTGCTTCACTATAAGCACATTGCTTTGCATGGCTGTGCTGTGCTGGTGTGCCAGAGCTGACAGGGAGGAGAACTATTTTGTTTACTAACAGTCCTTCCCCCCGTCGGAGATCCTCAGCAATCACTGATGAAAAATGGATGTGAACTGATGAAAAAAATGGAACTGTGTAAACTGATGAAGAATTGATGTGAACTGATGAAAAACGGGTGAACCGATGAAAAAACTGATGTAAAATGGATATAAACTGATGACAAATGGATGTGAACTGATCAAAAACGGATGTAAACTGGTGAAAAACTGATGTGAACTGATGAAAAACTGATGTAAAACAGATGTAAACTAATGAAAAAACTGATGTAAACTGATGAAAAACTGATGTAAACTGATGAAAAACAGATGTAAACTGATGAAAATCAGATGTGGACTGATGTAAAAGATGTCAAAAGGGATGCAAACTGATCAAAAACAGATGTAAAATGATGTGAACTGATGAAAACTGATGTAAACTGATGAAAACTGATGTGAACTGATGAAAAACAGATGTGAACTGATGCAAACTGATGAAAACCGATGTGAACTGATGAAAAACAGATGTAAACTGATAAAAAACTGATGTAAAATGGATGTAAACTGATGAAAAACTGATGTAAAATGGATGTAAACTGATAAAAAACTGATGTGAACTGATGAAATACAGATATAAACTGATGTAAAATGGATGTGAACTGATGAAAAACGGATGTAAACTGATAAAAAAAACCGATGTGAATTGATGAAAAAACGGATGTAAACTAATTAAAATCTGATGTGAACTGATGAAATACGGATGTAAACTGATGTGAACTGATGAAAAACGGACATGAACTGAGGAAATACGGATCTAAACTGATGAAAAACGGATGTAAACTGATCAAAAACGAATGAAAAATGGATGTAAACAGATGAAAAACTGATGAAATACGGATGTAAACTGATAAAAAACGGATGTAAACTGATGAAAAAACAGATCTAAACTGATGTAAAACCGATGTAAACTGATGCAAAACGGATGTAAAACAGATGTGAGTGAACTGATGAAAACCAGGTGTGAACTGATGAAAAACGAATGTAAACTGATGAAAAACGGATGTAAAATGGATGTAAACTGATGAAAAATGGATGTAAACTGAGGAAATACGGATCTAAACTGATGAAAAAATGGATGTGAACTGATGAAAAACGGATGTAAACTGATCAAAAACAGATGAAAAATGGGTGTAAACTGATGAAATACGGGTGTAAACTGATAAAAAAAGGATGTAAACTGATGTAAAACAGATGTGACCTGATGAAAAACGCATGTAAACCGATGCAGAACGGATGTGAACTGATGAAAAACGCATGTAAATGGATGTGAACTGATGAAAACCAGATGTGAACTGATGAAAAACGCATGTAAACTGATGAAAACCAGATGTGAACTGATGAACATGCATGCATGTAAACTGATGCAGAACGGGTGTGAACTGATTCTTAACAGATGTGAACTGATGCAGAACAACTGTGACTGAACTAATGAGGAAAAAAACGTAACGTGTGAAAGGACCCGAGCTCCTGATGCAATCGATGTACCACCTTCTAAGATCTACACAGCATCACTGCAGACTATTCCATTCTCCCATTTTTATAACGGTGAAGAAGACTTGGAGGATTCTGCCTTGGTGACACAAGGGAGGTTACTACACCGGCAGGACCTAACATGGCCACCCAAAGGTGACGTTTCCTTGCAGCGAATGGTGACGTTTCATGTGCTCATATCCACGCCTCGCTCTGACAGGACTCCTAGCCCCGCCTTTCTGAACTCTTCAGCCAATCCATGAGAGCCGTCGTTCTCCAGATGGAGGCCTGACACGCAGAAGGGGTTCCGCGCACCCAGAGTTCTGTTCCGTGGCTGCCTGGCCGTCATGTCTGCCCTCGCCCCGGGCTGCCGGTCCCTCCGGTCCGCACTTCTGTTCCCGCTGACGGTGCTGTTGCTGCATGTCGGTGTGTCCCGGGGCCTGTACTTCCATATCGGGGAGACGGGAGAAACGTTGCTTCATTGAGGAGATCCCGGATGAGACGATGGTGATAGGTGAGAGCAGCTGGGGAGGACAGGTGACTGGGTTCTGTTACCATGGCAACCAAGGCAGAAGTCTGTCTTTTAGAGCAGTCCCTGCAGGGGGGTGTACATACCCCCCCCCCCCAATACTGGCTTATCTTATCAACACTTCTGTGATGGACAATAGAAAGTTTCTCTCTTCAAAGAACCAGTAAAGTGGGAGAATGGTGTGTACTGGGGCTGATCCTGCTGGGATGCAGTTTGATGTCAGTCAGTACCTCCTAGCATGGCACACCAGTATTTGGATATGATTCTAAAGCCCAATTCCAGCTTTTATTTAAATGTAAGGATGTGCATCTAAATCTACCTCTTCTCTGAAGAGTGATCTATGTTTGGATTGCTTTTCAGAGGTGACTGATAGGCGGTGAAGAGACTGTGACACCTCTGCATTGCCTCTTTTAAAATGGAACTTCACGTAATCAACATTGACTATTTAATCCTTATGCTGCTAGCATTAGTAAATAGATAGGAAAGTATATCTCATTTACTGGTTTTAAACTTTTTTTTTTTTTTTTTTTTTACATTTCTTCAGTTACTTCCTGGTTTCCATGCCTAGGCAAATGATGTCATACATCCCAGGAGCCTTCAGGAGGGGAGGGAGGGTTCTCAGCCAAGCTAATGCCTGGACTAAGGGCAGATGGATTCCAGGAAATAAATGCTACATGAATCATTTGCCCTTACTCAAGATGGCCGTGGCCAGAAATGCCAGGAGTGTTTTCTAAATAACTTCTCAGCAAAGTTAAGCCTATTGACATGGATGAATGGGTGAGTTTTCTTTGAATATTAACAATGAATTAACCGCTTCCTGTCCGCCCTATAGCAGAAATACTGCTACAGGGCGGCACGCAAAATAACGTGCGCAAAATAACGTGTATATATATATATATATACACGTGATTTTGCATTTCCAGGTAGGGGGTGCGCATGCTCTACACGCGCCGCCATTCGCAGTTGTCAATCACTGGGTCCTGGCTGGTAATTAATCCCCGAAGCCCAGTGATTTCTGACGGAGGATTTACCCCTCCTTTCCTGACCAGGCCATTTTTTGCTTTGCGTTGCTGCGTTACTTTGACAATTGCGCAGTCTTGCAATGTTTACAAATTGTGGTATAGATACTGGAATTTTTAAATTTTTTTTTATTTACTAGTAATAGTGGCGATCAGCGACTTCTAGCGGGACTGCAGTGGGTATTGTGACACTGGGGGGGACTGACTTGGTGTCACTGATATCTCCAGTGACACCAATACAGTGATCAGTGCTTTAAAAAAAAAAACCCAAAAAGGCACTGACACTGTAATAATGGCACTGGGCAGGAAGGGGTTAACATGAGGCTGTGATTAAAGGGTTAACTGTGTGCTTTTTTTTTTACTAAGTGCTGTGTCCTTGTGCTTCAATGTAAGCACACTGCTTTGCATGGCTGTGCTCTACACAGCCATGCAAAGCAGTGTGCACGAGCTGTCAGGGAGGAGAACTGTATTGTTTACATACAGTTCTCCTCCCCATCGGAGATGCTCGGCAATCACCTGGCGGGACCCGGTGATTGACGGCCACGAATGGCGGTGCACGTAGTTTGCAGACTCCTTTCTTGTAAAATATGTGTAGGGCGAGCTTGGCCTGTAAATAAAAGCTGGAGTTAGGCATTAAAGATGAATTCTAGCTGTGTGTGGTTTTTTTTTTTTTTTTTTTTTTTGTTTTTGTTTTTTTTCCAGCTTGGACCAGTATGCCTGTGTCATACCTGTAGGAGTCTGGAAATCCTTGTAGACACTGCTATTCCAGTGATTTGTGCTAGTTTCCAGGTCCTGTACCAAGAGGAGTGGTTGCCCTGCTGCTTACTGAACACAGGGAGGTCACTAGCTAGGTCAAGTGCCATTGAGAGAGGAGCCCATGCCGTATGAGTGACATCCTTTGTTCAGAATGAAACAATATATATGCATAGTTACATTGGTCCAAGCTCAACCGATGCAACTATGTAAAAATTGCTATATCTGAAATTTGGCAATAAAGCGGTATTAACCACTTCGAGTCCAGACACTTTTACCCCCTTCCTGTCCAGGCCAATGTTCAGCTTTCAGAGCTATCACGCTTTGAATGACAATTGTGCAGTCATGCAACACTTTACCCATATGAATTTTTTAGCATTTTTTTGGGACAGATAAAACTTTATTTTGGTGGTATTTCTTCACCACTGGGAATTTTTCTTTTTTTTGCTATTTAAATTAAAATAGTCCAAAAATTTTGAAAAAAAGTGTTTTTCTTATAACATTTTGCAAATTAATAATCTTTCTTCATAAATCTTGGCCAAAATGTATTCAGTTATCTTGTTAGAAAAAAAAAACAAAAAAAATTAGTTTGTAACCAAATATTTTTTTACATTTTTTATTTAATTTTTTTTAATATTATTTATGATTTTTTTTTTAACATACTTTCACCCTAGCAGTACAATGTCACCACCCACCCCTGCACTGCACCTGTCCGGCCGTTTACAGGTGAAACTCGAAAAATTAGAATATCGTGCAAAAGTTAATTTATTTCAGTAATGCAACTTAAAAGGTGAAACTAATATATGAGATAGACTCATTACATGCAAAGCAAGATAGTTCAAGCCGTGATTTGTCATAATTGTGATGATTATGGTAGATCTTAGAAAAGTTAACTTTTAAAAAAATCAATATTTGCTAGCAGATCTGGTGGTATTGGAGGGACAGAGCCTACCCTAGAAGACAAAGTATGGATAGATGGCAGAACACGGTAGTAACATGGGGCTGGCGGAAAGAACCACTGAACGTGGCGGGTTACTTAGGAGCTTGATACTTCCCAGAAGTGTTTGGTTCTTAGTGGACTTTAGTGGATGATTTATCTTGAGTAGAGCAATGATCTGGCAGCATGGCTAGTGGGAAAGGCAAGTATTGGTTTTTCCCTTATACAACAGGAAAAACACAACGCTCAGAGACTATGAAAGAAAACAAGCTCAGATGCACTGCATTATTTTTTATTTATTTTGTTTCCTCAGGCCTAGCAGTAAAATCAGAACGTTGATTGTGCAAGGTCTTGGTGCTAGTTGCAGGGGTCTTCCATTCTGTCTAGCTTAGGTTCTGCTCCAGGACTATAGGACCTGACTTGCTTGGATTGTCAAGTGGAGACCTCTTTTTCGTTGTCCTAGAACATTTATGATCCCACCCTCCACTTCTTCCTCTATCTGAAGAGTGTCTTTACTGCCCTGAGGTTTTTATCTCCAGGACCATAGGAAAGGCAACTAGCTACACAGTCTTTGTGGTACTAGTTGATACTAGTGGTACTAGTTGTATTTGTACTAGTTGTACCTTCTTGGAAGAAATGGCCAACCTGCTCTTGTTTTGGGTTTGTATTGGCGAAAAAGACCTCTTGCAGTGCCGCAATACTAGAATTAAGCAGCAGGTCATTGTGGGCAGGTGAAGACTCTGTTCAACCGCACGGATGAGGACTAAGTTATTCCTGGTAGTTCCAGGTTATGGATTACTGCACTGTCAGCCTACGTCTCTGGTCGTGCATGGCGCATCAACCGTGTCCTTTCCATCCTTCTTCCAGCATCTCTGAGCTTACAGGTGCTGAGGGAGGACTGGTGGGAGAGGTCTGGAACAGTGAATGGGCATGTCACATAATTTGGACTTGAAAGCATTGAGTGTACCTGTTCGCCATTGGCAAAGTGAAGACAGAGGCTCCAGCACTAACTCCTCTTAATCTACCTCAATTGACGTAAGCAGGAGTTCCAGTTTATTAACTCCTTCTCCACTTACGTCACACTTGTCAGTGTACTGGAGGCCATTTTCCTAAATTTACCCTCTTGCTATCCTTTTGTTGAAATAAGGAAAGGTGACAGCCCAGGGTGTGTCTGATTTGCTTGCATCAGGTCTCTTTGTGCTGTTTTATGCAAAGGACCTCAACCAACAAAAGCCCACCACTAGGCTGAACTAGAAATGAAATATGTGGATCTGCAATATTCAACTAACAGGATCCTGGGCTAAACTTCCATTGCAAGGGCTGCTTGAACAAACCTGTTTAGTGAGTGCTCATTAATGCATTAAGGTATAGAATTTCTGATTGCACTGGTTTCATCCTCCTATCTCAGGCATTTAGTATTGGCTTTTGGTATCTGCAGCTTTAATGTACCGCCAGGTCTGGGCTATGGTAAAAATGTAAAATTATATATTCATTTCCACATTTGTATTCAAATTATTTCTAGCCTACCCCTATTACTGTGAACAGTCTTGGAAGTTTGTAAACTTACTTTGTGAAGATCCCTAATCCCTACACTTCCTACAATTCTGTGACACACATTCTCTATACCCTATGAATAGGCTGCTGTGTCACACATTTCACAGAGCCTGCTTCTGAACTACAGAGGTTCTGAAAGGAGGAGTTTCAGACTCCATGCACACGGGGCATTTAAATAACGCTGGTAACGTTAGCTGTGTAAAGTCACATTAAAAACGTGAGTTTTTCAGCGTTTTTGTATTAGCATTTAGCAGCGTTTTGCCGGTCTTTGTTTTTTTTTTTTTGTTTTTTTTTTACCAAAAAAAAAAATTCATATGGGTACAGCGTTGCAGTTGAGTAATTGTCACTGAAAGTGTGATAGTGCTGAAAATTGGCCTGGATTGGAAGAGGGTGAAAGTGTCCGGACTTGAAGTGGGTAAGACTTTACGAGCTGGAAGGATATTAGTGTTAGACTAAGTGTTAGACTAAATAAAGATCCTCATATGTACTGCAGTATTGGAGTATATGCATGAATTACATTTGTAGTATTTATGGGGCTCATAGTTGCCTCTATTCAAAGTAAGACTTTTGGTTATAAAGCAAATATTTAATGTTGTGAGCTGCTATGTGTGATGACCTAAATTAAAAGCTGCTGACACAATACCATAAATTTATGTGAACCCGAAGTGGATAAATCAATAATACTGTGCCGCGCTAATATAACTTAAAACGTTTTTTTTTTTACCTAAGCATATCCTTAAATATCAATATGTGTACAAATCAATCATTTTTATTACACCATACAATGTAATATATATCCTGTTAAACTTAATTTTTAAAATAAACAAATGTGCAAACAATTACAGCCCCAAATCAACAATCCAATCTCTAAGACTCCGTTCACACCAATGCGTTTTTTTTTTCCTAGTGAATTTTGCAGAAAAGCATTACAGTCCATTTAAGGGTCCATTCACACCAATGCGTTTTTAGTGCTTTTAGCAGAAACGCACTAGCCCATTTAACATGGTTTCCTATGGAACATGTTCACATCTTAAATTGTAAGTTTTCCAAGGAGCAGGGCCCTCCTAACCATATTGTATTGAACTGTAATGTTGCTGTATTGTCTCCCTTTATATTGTAAAGTGCTGAGCAAACTGTTGGCGCTATATAAATCCTGTATAATAATAATAATCTATGTTTTTTTTGAGCTGCTGTGTTTTTGGAAAGAGTGGACTTTTTTAAAAGCAAACAGCAGCATTTTTGCTACAATAGAGTTCAATGGAGAAGCTGCTGAAATGCATGGTAGTGCATTTTTGCCACGTTTTGCATTTTGCAGTTCTGCCCAGCAACAAAAAAATTCCACTTTAACAACAAAAAAAAAAAGAGCTGAACAAAACGCGGTCAAAACACATAAAAAACGCATGTAGAAAACGCAAAACGAACTGCAAAAGGGACAAAAAGCAAACTGCATAGGTGTTCAATGAAGAAGCTGCTGAAATGCATGGTTTTGCGATTAGAGGCATATTTTAAGGTCAATGTTTAGAGGCAGGAAAAAAAAAAACCCTTTTAGTTTGTGTTTTTTGGTTGGAGCTTTCTCGCAGAAAAAAAACCCGCTAAACTCTCATAAACACGGCTGAACTGTTTACAAAAATGCTCTATATCAGGGTTTTTTGCTGCCAAGGAAACTTGTGTGTGTATGTGTGTTGTGCTTTTTTTATTTTTTTTTTTCCAGTGTTCATGGAGCCTTATGCAGGAGATAGATGGGTCGTTTATCGGCCGTTTTTTTTTTGTCCGCACAAAAAATCGTCCGATATTCACGCCGTTAGTGGGGCCAGCCTGTCAGCTGTTTTTTGCGGATCTTCTCATTTATTTTTATCGGTCATGCTTGAAAATCCACAAAAAACAGCCGTTTTTCGTGATAATTGGTGGCAGCAACGGCACCGACCGATTTTTTTCGTTTTTCGGCCGACAATTCGGCCGATATAAGGGGCCCGTCTATGGCCTGCATTATGCTTTTTCAATTTAAGCAAACTTGTTACAATTCTTATCTTAGTAACTTGCTTCTGGTACACAATAGTAGCTGCCTTTGCTATTTCCCTTCTATTTTGATGGTTCTTCTCAGCTCCAGTCTTCAGGTACCCTCATGAAGGCCTATGGAGTACTAGTAATCTTGTTACTAGCAGCAGCTCACTTGAAACAGGATCAATAGGTGGAACAATGGGGGAAACATTCAATCTGCTTCTGTGTCATCGTATCACTCCCTTGCTGGCCAAAAAGCTGAAGAATCTGTTGTCAGCTGGAGAGCAACGCCTCTGTTGTGTCTGGCCAGCCAGCTAAGGAGCAGGAGAATGCTGTGTTTTTTTTTTTTTTTTTTTTTTTTGTTTGTTTTTTTTTTTGCCCTAGCAATTCTGTTGGTGGCAAGTTATCACTAGTGTGTCAAAGGCCAAAGTCGTGTTTTGAGACTATCCCAAAGCTTGCATGAGGAGTGGAGTTGAGAAACACTGTTCTAAGCGCATGATTTTGCCTGTGTTACCAACACGCAATAATGTGAACCTAGCCTTAATCCTTTTTTTTTTTTTTTTTTTTTTTTCGGGAACAAACTTTTGGCTGGTCTTTTTAAAGGATGTACAAGCACTTAGCAAGAATGCTGGTTTTTGTCCTTTTTAATTAACTTCCTGATTTTATATCTAGGTAACTACAAGACCCAGCTTTGGGATAAAACGGCTGAAACCTTTCTTCCTTCTACCCCAGGCCTGGGTATGCATGTTGAGGTGAAGGACCCAGACGGGAAGGTAACATATAATTGCTGAATCAGCTTCTTTGAATTAACTGATTAAGGGCTCCTTCACACTTGAGGTTTGGGGGAGGATGGGGGGGCGGTGTCAGCCGCACTTTTACCAGCCCTCAACTGCTTCTCCCTTTAGCTTCATAAGCAGTGGCCAGAGGTGTACACAGCTTTTTCTTTGCAGCCATGGCAAGAATTCTAGCCCCTGTTGCTTTCAGTGGGCGTAGTGTCTGTTGAATGCAATCAGTTCAAGTGAATGGGGCCACTCTGCAAGCGCAAAGCACATGGTTGCAGCATGCTAGTGCTGGATTCAAAGGGTTAAAGGGGGCAATACAACAGCACCTCAACACCTGTCATATGCTCTTTGAAGAGCAATCTGAACGCAGATCACTCTTCAGAGAGGAAAGCATGTGTGAAAGAGCTCTTAAACTGCAAGTAAATTTTTGAAAGACACTGATGTGGTCTTCCCAAAAGATCATCTTCTAGTATCTCAGCATTGGTTTCCTTGCTTAGCTTATACCGTCACCTAAATGTACTTACATTTCTTAAAATAAAAACCCCACATTTGAAGAAACCTGCACTTGAATTGAGAGGCTACGATTGCTAAATCACTATGAAAATGGTAGTTACCTTATGTACTTTCTGACTTGTAACAAGCATGCAGATAAGGATAGTCAGAACTCCAAAGCATACTTGTTCTGAGATGGTGACTTGAAAAGTACTAAAGAATACAAAATGGTGCGGCGCTAAGAATAAATAAGTGACAATGAGTGATCAAAAACACACAAGGTCTAGCATGACCCGATAAGTGACCTATAAATGCAGTGAGCCCAGTCCCAATATGGGATACAGAACAAGTGACCCCAAGTACCCACAAATGGGACTCAAAACTGTATAAAGTGTATCCCTGTGGAGGGATGAAGACACACTAAGTGCTCATGAAGATATAAACCATAAAACAATAATGGTGTATTACAGTCCAATCAGGTGTAAATACAGCAATTGTACTTTGATCTTCTTGGACATAATAAACCAGCCTACTGTGAATGCACAACACACCAGTTGGTGCTCCCAAAAATGGCTGCAATGGCCTCTCACCTCCACTCAGTGACCCCCTAAGGGCCACAGAGCCTTGTAGATCATCAGCTGTCCTGATGAAGTCATGTGAAACGTGACATAACACGTTGACGGCAAAGCGTGGTGACGTAATTCCGGCGTCCGGTGGCGCGCACATCTTTCAACACCACCTTTCAACCTAATACACCCAAGCACATGGGAAATGCCTATATCATCCACTGAAATGTGAGTGCATTATGTTTGGCTTATTTTATCTATAATTAAAAGCATTTTTACACTATGGAGGATGTGCTTCTCTTCTGTTGTATGGGCCATTGAATAAGTCTATGAAGGTATCCATCCACCTGCCTCCTATTGATCCAGAGGGGGGCTTTTAAAGACACGGGACATCAGAGGGTCCTTACAGCCCAGGTACCAGACTATCAAGAGGATTCATACAGGAAGGATCCAGGGGTGATCTGCAAGGCTCTGTGGCCCTTAGGGGTCGCTGAGTGGAGGTGAGAGGCCATTGCAGCCATTTTTGGGAGCACCAACCGGTGTTGTGCATTCACAGTGGGCTGGTTTATTATGACCAAGAGGATCAAAGTACGATTGCTGTATTTACACCTGATTAGGACTGTGATACACCATTATTGTTTTATATTTTATATCTTCATGAGCACTTAGTGTGTCTTCATCCCTCCACAGGGATACACTTTATACAGTTTTGAGTCCCATTTGTGGGTACTTGGGGTCACTTGTTCTGTATCCCATATTGGGACTGGGCTCACTGCATTTATAGGTCACTTATCGGGTCATGCTAGACCTTGTGTGTTTTTGATCACTCATTGTCACTTATTTATTCTTAGTGCCGCACCATTTTGTATTCATTAATATCTCTTGACCTATAGGTATAGGATTAGGTGTTTTTGGCTGCTTCATATGTTTTATTAGGTCTTTTTGTTATTTTAACTGAGCGTGGGGGGGGGGGGGGATCAATACAATTCTTTTATTTTGAAAAGTACTAAAGCCACTGAATCAACATGAACGGAGGGGGGATCCGTATTTTCATTCATGTTCCCGCAGACACGCCCTTAAATCAGGAGGGAACGTGAATCTTTTACTTTGTGGAAGGACAGGAAGTACTTGGAACTGGTTGCTTTTGCTTTTAGAGATTACTCCTAAAGGCCAAAAACAGTTTAAGCTAACTGTCTTTGGGAATACCTAGCACAAACTGATGCCTGACTGCACTCAATAACTTCAGAATGTCCCTGCTACACCCAAGGGGCCCCATTCAGTGCTATGCAACCAGTTTGATACAGCGCAGCCTTTCCCCTATTATATCCCACAGTGTAATTGGTCACTGAGACACCTGCCTTTCATTAACAAATACAGTGGGCCTGATATTTATTGTTTTGTGATTGCTGCAATTTTCTGTCTTGTTTTGATATTTTTCTCTGTTTCAGGCGATTCTCTCCAGGCAATATGGGTCTGAGGGACGCTTCATCTTTACATCTCATACCCCAGGGGAGCACCAAATCTGTCTGCACTCAAACTCTACAAGAATGACTCTATTTTCTGGAGGAAAACTGGTGAGGCTAGCCACATTGTTGACCACTTTGTAAATCATATATTCTAAAATATTGATGTTGCATATGGGACTACCCTATGTACATGTATAACCAAAACTATACATTGAAATCAAGTTTTTAGCATTAACTTAATCAGTACTAAGATCATTTACATTAGAACTGATCTCTAGGCAAGTATAAAATTCCAAGTTGAAATACACATATTGGAATTTTACTTGCAATAGATGTGTAATTCTGTGCAGCAAATCTGTGATACAATGAGCACAGCCCGATCCTCAACTCCCAGTGTGCGGCAAGAACACTGGTAGGTAGAGAACACTGGTTCTTACCACCACTTTGCTGACTGGACAGTGAAAGAGAAGCAACACATGAATAAGTTCTAATACAATAACTCTTCTATCTTCTACTGTCTGATCACTGACAGCACATGTGCATGCAGCAGCCCCTAACATACTGCTAGTGCTGCCCCTCCAAGTATGTGCTGGTATAAATGGTTTACAGACATTTGACATTTAAGCAGAACTAAATCCTCAAATGTTTGCCTTCCATCAATCATCTGACGGCTGGCATCTTTTCCTCAGCTTCTTCTGGATGCCGAGTCTTCAGCTGTAATGCAGGAGTTTAATCAAACTGGGACACAGCCACTGTGCCAAGAATGTACCCTGAGCTGCACATGCGCAGCTCAGTGTACATTGTAAAAAAGATTGCTAATGGGCAGGTGAGTTTACTTAATAACCACTTTATAGTGTTTATGTACACACAAAAAAAACTTGTAAAAAGTAAACAAAAAAAAACAAAACACGAGGCAGCAGTTCTGAATGCCTGCTAGCCTCTGCTGTATTGTCTTCTGAGAAGCAATCCACCATGGATCACATTTCAGAGGGTAGCCTATCAGAAACAGCCTTTGGGGGTTATATCCTGACCACAGACATCGTTATTTAGTCTGTCAGGAATATGTCTGTCTGAGATTCTTTTTTTTTTTCTATGACAAATAAAAGATAAAGGACTTGCTTTATGATTTGTTTTGTAGTTTTTGTTACATGTGCAATGACATTTCCCTATCCTCTTTATAGCGAGTTCATTTAGATATACAGATTGGAGAACACACAAATAATTACCCTGAAATTGCAGCAAAGGACAAGTTGACAGAATTACAGCTCCGGGTCAGACAGCTGCTGGATCAAGTGGAGCAAATTCAAAAAGAGCAGAACTACCAGAGGGTGAGAGATGGCTATGATTGAGAGACTCTGATGGATTATGCTCTAAACATTAGAGATACAGCAGTCAACACTGACATTGATGCTAAAATGTCACTTCTACTCACTGTCCCTGAAGCCTCAAAGTTTGCTTTTGGTTTTTTTTCCATGCATGTGATTTAAAAATTGTCCTTTTGAATTTAAAGGTTTAAAGTTCACCTTTTTGGAACATGTTTCACCATTTCTATGGCTCTTCTCCCTGCACCCGCTGATATGTTTTGAAAAAGGTGTGGCCTTACAGGGCTCCACCCATACAGGCGCATCATTCACCATTTCTTGTGAATGAATGAACTGCAAGTACTGTCAACCACTGTGGCTGATGGCTTGTTGTTCTAAATGAACTGTGAGGGCGCTGATGAATGCTCTCATAGTTCATTTATATGCCCTGCAGCTTTCAAATAGACAGACATATGGAGGTACAGGCGGAAAGCTGCAGGGCTTTTCTGCAGAAGCATGACATTGCACCACTGATCACAGGTGCAGTTCTTTCCAGGTTCCTGCAGGAAAAAATATTGAATGTATATTTTTTTTTTTTTTTGCAAAAAATATGTGCATTTGTTTTTTCTGGAAAGGTGAACTTCTCTTTTTAAAGGTAAATGCTAAGGCCCAGTGTAATTATAATATAATATTTGAAAAAAAATTTAACGCCTATATTTCTTGAGTGATTTCTACTACAGGTTCATTGTTCAATTTCTAGAGATAGGAAAGTAAATTTGTTTAGTTTTTGGCTGTTATGCTATGGTTACTGTATTATCATCAATTAAATTATTCTAGATATGTTTGATGTCTTTAATTGTAAAAAGATGCTTGTTTTTTTGTGCAATTTTAAAACCTTTTTAAGATTTCATTTTTTCTTTTTTTTTTGTAGTACCGAGAGGAGAGATTCCGCTTAACCAGCGAGAGCACTAACCAGCGTGTCCTATGGTGGTCTATTGCCCAGACTCTCATCCTCATCCTCACAGGCATCTGGCAAATGAAACATCTTAAGAGCTTTTTTTGAGGCCAAGAAACTTGTGTGAAGCATCTACCTCTGTGCCCAACTTAATACTATATCCCTGCACATACAAAAACAAACCTGGTTCTCGCCCTGCATTATACACTGTCTCCTGGCTCACGTACTTTGGAATGGTAGCCTTTGTACATTAATTCTCGTAATTAATGCCAGTGGGCCAAAATCCAAAATAGTCTATTTCTCACACATTGGAAACATTAGCTGCTGGCAGGAGAAAGCAGACTGGAAAGTCAGTGTAGTGAGGTTTATATTTGTGTACAAGTTATATCTTCTATGCTCTTTCTAGCTGGAGCTGTAAGATTCATGTGCACCTAATATAGGCAGTTAACATACATCTTAAATTCCCTTCCCACCTACCCCTTTTTAAAATCATTGTCTGCCATCTTAATAGCTGCAATACAACTCAAACTCAGTTGTTAGTGAAAAGTCTATATTGCCAGCTATTTCTATAAATCAGTAATTTGGTGGACTTTAATTTATTTACACTGCTGTTTGCTGTATCGTGAGCAAGTCAGTTCACATAGGCCAATGCAGTCAACATCCAGTACTTATAGTGGAGTAAAGGGCCATGTGTGTGAAAAATTGTGGAGGTGTTGTGGAACTTTCCTTCCTCCTGTTCTTTATACATAAGCCTTTGTCTATGAATGATGGGGTTAGTAGTTCAGTCACTGCTTCTTGGTTCGAAAGATTGGATCTCTGACAGTAGCCTGTGAATTTTTTTTTTCATATTTTTGTTTTTTTGTTAATGTAGCATTACTGTAAATCCTGTATATAAGGCAAGGTAGATATCTGCAATAATTGTTCAAGTGGGGTTTGGTTTGACCCCTAGTATAAGACTGGGGATAATCATTAAAAAAAAAAAAAAAAAAAGTTTTGAGTATTTGCAGAAAAGAGAGATAATTGCTTATGATAAACAAGATACTGTTATTTTTATCAGTTAGGATTGCAGCAATCACCAAGATTCAATCAAGGTTTGTCTGTGAACCCTTCAAAGCGGGCCCTCCAAGGCAAACGGAAGGTCCGCTTTTTTTTTTTATTTTTGCCAGCCCCCTGGTACTTCACACAAAAGCCTTTTGTAAACAAACATTGGGAAAAAATTACTTCTGAAGCTTCTGGGTGGCACATGTGATGACACTGGGCCTCTTGGCAGAGCTGGGAGCCTGAAATCCCTTGAGAAGGCATACTTGCAGTTTGTTGTGGGATGTCAAGCTCCCAGCTCTCAGGAGTGTTTAACATCAGGGCTGGGGGCTGGCAAACCACCTGTTTGTCATGTATAATCCTCCTTTAAACACATTATTTATTTGTAAACTGGGAAATATGAAAAATTGACCCTAGGTATATAGGAGACATTCACAATATCATCTGAGTCTTTTCATAAATGCTAAAGTTTTTTGAATGTATGCCATGTATGAAAACATTTGCAAGGAATTGAATCTGTTAGCTGCAGCAGTAAGCTTGGCGTATTTTCAATACATATGAATGGTAGCACACGTTAATAGAAGTCATCTTGCTCTGTGTAGTTGGCACTCTGTTCAATTGATGGTAGCCAACTCTTATTACAGTAGACATGGGGGCTGAATCCCCTTACAGTGTGTTTATATTTCTCAGAGGCAAATATATGAACAAACTGAGCCTTACAATCCATATTTTCATAGCAGATAGCGCATTTGAAAAACAGATATGCTTGAATTGTTGAACAGTATTTTCATATGCATAACATGAATAACAAAAATGCAGCGCTAATCAATAATGCATTAAAATATCAACATAAAAGTCCAAATAAATCCTCAAGTGAATGAGACCGGTTGCAGGAGAAGATTCTGGCATCATAAACCGAAGAAATAAGCCCTTACCAGACGTTCAGAAACGTATCATATCTGTCAATATGCGCAGTACATAAGGAATGAGGCAGATATTTTTCACTAAGAGTCCTCAAGGTGATAAATACTCCTCCTCTTTAAAAGATCTTCAAAAGCTGGAAAAACTCCCATCCAATATTCAAATAAGGGATATAAAACAAAAAGCAACTCATAGTGTAATATTTCAGTACAGTTTTGACAAAAATTTAATAATAAAGGATCCACATACATCAAGCATTAAAACAACCAGCATTGAATGTGAAATGTTTCAAACCTGATGTCATCTTCCTGATGACGAAACGCGTTGGATGGAGCTTTGGCGTGTGACGTCACCATGTTCTGGAGGGACGGCGGCCATATTTTTGGTTTGAAACATTTCACATTCAATGCTGGTAGTTTTAATGCTTGATGTACGTGGATCCTTTATTAAATTTGTCAAAACTTTACTGAAATACTATACCTATGAGTTTCTTTTGTTTTATATCCCTTATTTGAATATTGGATGGGAGTTTTTCCAGCTTTTGAAGATCTTTAAAGAGGAGGAGTATTCATCACCTTAAGGAGGATTCTTAGTGAAAAATACCTGCCTTATTGATTCCTTATGTACTGTGCATATTGACCGATATTATACATTCTGAACGTCCCGGTAAGGGCTTATTTATTCGGGTGTTTGACGGTTTTATGACACCAGAATCTTTTCCTGCTACCTGTCTCATTCATTTGAGGATTTATTTGGACTTTTATGTTGATATTTTAATGCATTATTGATTAGCACTGCATTTTTTTTACTCATTTTTAAATTTGCCTTTTGTGTGCAAGCTGCTTTTCCTTGCTATTTTGCTCTCTTGAATTTAGAGTGTGGTTACATCCAAGCGCAGGTTTTTGTGTTTTTTATAGCATTTCATATGTGCCTGCCTCCCTGTGGTGATTTACTCTAACAGAGTGTTGTAGTGGAACTATACTTTTAGACCCTGCAGAATAAAATGTAGACCTACATTGAAATAATGTGTAAATATTAGCATGTTTGAATCTCTGCCCCATTCTTGCAAAGTTCCACCCACTCTTTCTGTGACATTGCTATGGTTTCAAAAAGGTATTTCCACCACAACATACATGTGGGGGCAAATGTAGGAACTGTCATTCCTGCCTCCCATCAGTTGACTCATCTGCCTTGTGACCTTGTTACTTCATAGTTCATACTTCATAGATATCATAGTTGGATTTCCTGGCTCTGCCTTTCTCCAGAATCTCAGTCCCTGTTGCATTTTCTAGTGTAAAATAGCTTAAGCTGAAGCAATGGATTGAACTAACCCTTACTTCATTGCCTACAGGAATTGTCGCTTGTTTGCCAGGGAGATAATAAATGTGTATCTTGTGTACCAAAGTTTGATCATGTCAGAACATTATCACCTATTCTGCAGGGGGCATAATGGGAAATTGGGGGGGGGATAGACAGCAAAATGAATAAGGTTTTTCTGGGAATTGGGGGTGGGGGGAAATAGACAGCAAAATGAATTAAGGTTTTGCCACTAATTTTTGTTGCCCACAACTTATCAGCACTGATGGTCCGTGTATTGGACAGATCGTCAAGCTAACACTAATCCTTCACCCTTTTGCCCTTTTTCTCCTGCCGTTTTGGCCTCCAAATATTTCTAATATATATTATTTTGTAAGTTTGGGATTAAAAAAAATGTTTCATTTCTGTGACTATTTTGAATTGTAATAAAAGAATACTATTTCCATGTGTATTGATTATAATGTATATACTGGGTTCACAGTGTGAGAGCTGTTTTACCTGGGTTTTGGAGTGTGAATGCTAGTTGGTGCCTTGGATGGGTTCAGTGTGAGACATCTGGGCATTGAATATCCAAATTGTTAGGTAGACTTGGGTTCTGAGCAGTGTTGCCAACCCACGATGTGACAGAGCACCAATTTTTTTTCCTTCTCCTGACAAAAATCATGAATTTTACTGACACTTCAAAAAAGTACATAGAATGGCCATTATAAGTGCAAATATTAATACTTAAGCGATAAACATAAAGCTAATGCTAGCTGCCCAGATACACCCCATTCTTACAGCACCTAGCCTTCAATAGCCAGGCTGCCACTGAGCAATTGTTAAACAGGATGCAAGACTGGTCCCTGAGACAGAAGATCTGGCGGGACCAGAAGTGCTCAAGGGCCTTCATCTGCCAAGTTCATTGAGCCTGAATGCGTGGCATTGTTGGACTGAACCTTTACTGGAAGACCTCGCAACTGGTTCGTCCAGTGCAAACCAAACAGCTCCAGAATACTGGTGGGCAAAATGCATTTCGTGAGGAGACCAGGATTCTTGTACTGAGGCACATCCCAAAATGGCTTCCCAACACAACAGACTGGCATTGTTAGACACTATCCACCAGACTACTGGAAGGAAAGACTTCCTCTGGTCCAGGTTCTGATGAACCATCTACCATTTTAATGCCCTGGGAGCTAGGGACATATGGCAATTCAGACACTGAACTTTCCTGTTCATACAAACAGGATATTCCTTTGTAATGGCTTGGCGTGAAACGGAGCGTATGGAATAGCCTTGAACACCATCATTCCTAGAAATCTCATGGAAAAGATTCATCGGAGGGAACCTTCACCTATTTTAGAGACAGGCCTGTTTCTGGAGCTGTGGGCAGCCTTCTGGCCCTGTGTTTTCCCTCAGAAACCAGATGCCTGTGGGTGGGGAAAAGACTACCTGGATGACGAGGTACCAGCTGACGAAGAAACTGTTCCTCTATAAACTGGATGCCTGCCCTTTAAGTGGCAAAAAGGGAACTCTTTCCCCAGAGATCTCTGACGTGTATATGTTCAATGTATATGAGGGCGTACCATGCAAAAAGGAACTGTACTAGCAATTTTTATGGCCAAAAGGAATCGCACGACAATTCCAGGCATGTCAATGCTGCAGCCAAGTCATCCTTAGTGACGTGCTGAGGCGGACGTGCTAAGAGTAGGTAAAATGTCAGAGAAATGCAGGGTTTCAGATACAACTGATGCTTCTGGTTTATTGGGAGATAAGAACACAGTGGATTATGACTGGAGTATTCATGGCTTAATGGTGGTGCACTTGCGCCCCTCTAGGTTGTGCTTCCCCCACTCCTTCTGGAAGCCCTTC